CTCTTAATGCTCATACATTCTGAGATTTTTAAAAACAGATACAGTATTTCAAAAGTATCTAAAAAATATTTTGTGTAAAAAAATCAAGAATAGGCCTATTGAGAACAAACTATGGTCAAGTTATATATATGTTATCGTTTAAAGCTTATTAGGCATTTCATGAATCTATGATATATTATAATATTGACAACATCAATAGAACATAATCCCATAGGTGGAATTTTGTCCAACCCGTCGTGAAATATAGGCCTACTGAATACTCAGTGCGTGTAAAAACACTTGCAAAAATAGCACTTGCTGCTTACTTGGGCTCGAATTCAACCCTGGCCATCAGGTGCAAGCTCGGTTATCGCACTGAGTATTCAATACATTTTCACGACAGGTTGGGCAAAATACATATAGGCCCCCTAATGAATAATAATCAATATTATAGCCTCTAAAACCTAATATTATTGAAGTGTCCTTTTGAAGTTTAAATAGGATTTTTTAAAGTTATATTTTTAGATCATTAGACCAGATTAGACCTATTGAACGAGCCCCCAATACTGCACTGCCCATACCTACGCCACTGGACCTGAGTAGTGGTTACATAACGTTTGCTATGCGCTATAGAAGTGGAAGACCATAATGTATTGGGAATGTACCTCTCTCTGGTAGGGCCTACAGTACAATCAGTGTAAAAGTGTAAGGTATAGGATAGCGTGGATTTAAACATTGTCCTAATGGTAATGTTCAAAATAAGTGTCAGGGAAAGTAAGTATGATTGTTGGAAAGAATGGTCAACATTTTATTTTGATTTCTCACCACCCTGACCTTCGCCTGGGCGAAGTGGGCGAAGATCTGAATCCGCATCTAGCATAAATTTTGTAAGCCAGGACCCAGTAGTATTTTGGTACGTTTCTTCACAGAGTGGGGTTCGTCCCAACCCTGGATCCGCCACTGAAGTTGCAATCAAAATTTACTCCGAGGTATTTAATAGTCACTACATTTTCAACATTAATATTGTTATAGCTTAGAGAAATTTCTGAGAATATAGGAAGTAGGTAATATGTTCCGAATATCATGAATTTAGTTTTGTTAGTATTTAATGTTACATTATTGCTTTTGAACCACCCTGTTACAAAATTAAAGTTTGTTTTAAGTTCGAATTGAAGTTCAACAGGATCAGTAGAACTGCAAAGAATGGTTGTATCGTCTGCGTATAATTGCACATTTACCTTGGACTACCTCAGGATGTGAATTAACAAAAATATTAAAAAGTAATGGTTCTAATATTGATCCTTTTGGGTTATCTGGAGGTAGTGGGTTCGATTCTCCACCGAATCACTTGAGAATTTTTTTCGTAAGTATTTGAGAACGTACTAAGTATTCGGTACGATAATATGTCAGGTAGTGCAAAACATCACTCTTAAGATATTTCCTAACGCAAGCACGCATCGTATTGCAGTACCCGCTTGCTACTTGGAGATCGGATTCAACACTAGTCTCACTGAGCGCAAGCTCGAAGGGTCTTGGATCGTGGGGGGGGGGTCAAAGGTAATCATTTTCCCGGTTAGTAACAAAATTAAAGAGGGGTCAAAGGTAATAATTTTCCCGATTAGTAATTTATCATACCCGCACCCCCCCCCCCTCCATATAGAAAACAATACGTCATAGGGCTTATCTTATTTATAATATAGGCCACACACGTGTGTTTGACTCTAAATATAAGCATTTTCATCATGGTTTTATTTAATACAAACATTCTTTCACCATCAATACACATTGAGGCCCTTCTTTTAGGTAAAACGATGTGTCTTAAATGTTCTTCCTATTTGAGTTGGGACTATTATGTGTTCAATTAACTTAGACGGCAAAGGAGGACAAGCACAAGTTCTTACGCCCAAAAATGCGCGCGAAGCGCGCAAAATTCTTTTTTTTTTTTTTTTTTATTTTTTTTTTTTTTTTTTTTTTTGAGTTTATGGCTTATGTTTTATATGGCCGCACACGTTTTTTTGAAACTGCATTTTCATTATGCTTTATTTATTACAAAGATATTCTTTCATTATCATTACACATTGAGGCCCATCCTTCTTGTTTTGGGAGTTGGGGACTATTATGTGTTTAAATAACTTAAAATGCTAACCCTAAAAAAGCGCGCAAAAAAATTCGTGTTTTTAATTCTAATTTCGTCAGAATTGATCAAAACTCCCTAAAATGTGCAATTTTTAGAGGAAATTGGCCTATCTTTAACAAGACATGTGCGCGAAGCGCGCGAAATCGGAGATTTTTAGGCACTTTCAGTGGGTGAAAAGGGCATCTTCAAAGGGTGGGGAAAGATTTTCCACAGATGGATATTTTTCCTTTGTCCTCCGGTGGTTACGCCACTGCGGAGAATATCTGGCGGCTTAGATCAAAGGAGCTGTGTGGAGTGGAGAAGTGGTTGCATGGTGTTGTGGGTCTGGTCATTATGATATCTTCCTTTTTATTCTTGTCTTTATTTTTCTCTTCTCTTTATCTTTTCCTTTCCTTTTCTTTTCCCCTTCTTTCTTTTTCCCTGCCTCTCCCCTCTTTCTTGTCTCTTATTACTCAGCCCGGCATGGCGGCTTGGTCAGCCCGGTAAAAACCGTCAGGGGGAACTCTGCCCCCTGCCCCACCTGTTACGCCACTGACTGCACTCGACGGTCGTCGGCCGACGCGATTCTATGAAGAACGCAACGCCACTACGCGCGCGCAAAAACTCGTTTTTACCAAAGATACTAGAAATACAAGATAGAGTTCTCGCATTGTAAAAATGAGGCGGAAGTCGTGCCCAACGCAGGCGGAGATGTGTATAAGAGACAGCAACCTTACCATCCTAAAGTGGTTTCACTCTCTATCCATTAAACTAATTGCTGTTCCAGAGATTATATCATTATTATTTTACAGAAAATATACTGCAATTTATTGGTTTTGGGTATTAGTGTAAGTATTCATAAGGAACAAAGTACAGTATTTTATGTGTAGTGTAATTTTTTTGTGCATTCGGGAATATCAGATAATTAAATATCTGTAAGATATACCACATACATAAATTCAAGTCATCTGCCTGGGTAAAAAGAGGGAAATATCTTCAACAATCACTCCTACGACATAAGTTGAATGATAGTTCTACTCAGCCCGGTATGACGGCTTGGTCAGCCCGGTAAAAACCGTCAGGGGGGGAACTCTGCCCCCCTGCCCCACCTGTTACGCCACTGACTGCACTCGACGGTCGTCGGCCGACGCGATTCTATGAAGAACGCAACGCCACGACGAGCGCGCAAAAAATCGTTTTTACTGACGATCCGTTCGAACGGGCACCGACAATCAGTAGCGCGGCACCACGAACATACTTCAATCGCCTCGAGAAATAAACAACTGATAATTTGTTGGTTTTCATGTCAATTCTGACAAAATAGCTTTTCAAAATGTGCCTCAAAACACCTTCACCTAAGAACGTAACTCAGATCTTTTGCTACTATGAAATAAGTATAATAATTTTTTGTCCAAATATCACTTCAGATATGTTTCTGAATCAAGTCTTGCTGTACCTGTCACGACAGTTCATTATACACAAAGAGGTGTTGACAACCGACTAATAAGAGCAATTGTGAGAACAGCAATGCAAGAAAATTAAAAAAATACTAGAGCAAGGCAAATTTGACCAAATACATAAGACGATTAAAGATCTTACCAGTATAAAGAAATTGAAAATTAGGAATTCATTGTATCTGAGTGAAGTAAACGGCACCTCCATCGAAAAACATTTTACAAAACTTATCGAAGAGAAAAAAAAAAGAGTAAATCTGTCTGAAGAAAAAGGAGCTATCTACGCTATGCAAGAGAAAAAATTCCGTTCTGTGCTTCACACGTCGCAGGCACCTGCCCATACTTTTCTTTGGATAACCCCTGCTGAAGATGGAAGGAGTATTCAGGATTTTTTTAATGATAAAGAAGGGTAACCACAAGCAGAGAGCGTGCATACAGTAGAAGTAGAAAACAAATAAAAGTAATTGAGGATATTAAAATCTGTTGAAAATGACAATTTACGAGCAATGCCCTAGCCAGGATTTTCAAACAGTGCGGGACAATATCAGTGTGGACTCACTTTACGCCTAAATTCAAACAATGTGGACCCATTTTAAGCACAAATATGAAAAATCTGGACCCATTTTCTTAAATTTTACCCATTTAAACCTAAATTTGAGAAATCTGGACCCATTTTAAAAATGTGGACCAATGAAAAAAATTGCGTGGAACTGTCCCAACTGTCCCAATAGCTGGCTACGGCATTGCTTACGAGTTTACTGATGTAACCTGAAGAATATCTGTTAGTCACATGTATGAGAAAGAGAAGTGACCAAAAAAAAAAGGAAAAAAATACAAATAAACGAACAATCTGGTAAACGACTCGCACATCAAAATACACTGCGCATGCGTACGGTAAAATGGTTTTGCTCCGCCGAATAAATTCGCATTATGGAAAGAAATTATACCGCTTGATTAAATCGTCCAGTCTTGGTATTTTTCCGTTTTCGTTTACGATATCTCTTATAACGTTTACATTGTTTGTCGGCAATGTATTTTAAGCTTTATATTCTTTATTGTTAAAACATGAATTGTTTCATTACGATTGGCTTAAAATTTTCTCAGTATGCAAGGTTTCATGAAGACATTCGCTCCGTGGAGTGAGGACATCTTTATAGATTTCATTAAACAGTGTGGATAGCAAGAGATACCAGTAGCGATTCGCTATAAGGTCAATTTATCTTTGTAGTCAAGGCTGGTGACAACAAAAGGAAAATAAAGCGTTATGAAACCACATGGTTTTTCATTAGTAATACAGTAATAATATGGATTTATAGAGCGCATAATGCATAAAGCCTCTATGCGCTAGACCTTTGTATTTAGTTTGAATCCCTATGAACTATACTACCTCAAGCTATTAGCATTCCGTTAGCTTTGATCAGGATAGGAGGCGCCCGGGGTGTTGACCAGGATTCACTTCTATAGATCCTTATACCCCATTCAGACTAGCATCGCATTGCGATCGGTTGTAGCAATTGCGACACCCAATCGCAAAGTAAAATCGTGTGTGAAAGCTCACCAATACTAGTAGTCGATATGTAATCGATATCGCAATTGTTACCCGTTGCGATTGGGTGCTACAATCTTTATTACTCCCGATTACCACGGAATATGATCGCAACGAATCACAACGAATTCCACAGGCATTCTTTGGCTGAGGTCAGGAACATAGTCCTAGACACCCTATTCAGTCTACACTCTGTTGCGATCGGTTGCGATGTAATCGGTGGTAATCCAAAACTAATTACTCCCGATTGCAATCAACGAACGCATTCAGACCAACACAAACAAACTTTACATTCTAGGGCCTAGGCCTCCGGTGGCAGGTCTGTTTTGACTGACCTCAGCCAAACAGTGCCTGTGGAATTCGTTGTGATTCGTTGCGATCGGATTCCGTGGTAATCGGGAGAATAAAGATTGTAGCACCCAATCGCAACGGGTAACAATTGCGATATCAATTACATATCGACTACTATTTGTCTCTTATACACATCT